ACACTAGCCAAAAACTGCAAAGCACTCGCTGCGATCGTGAACACTGTCCATTCACATAGTTGCTGATCAGCTACTTTGTAGGTGGATGTGTGTATGTTTGTGTTTTTTTCCCCCAAATTATCATCAAAAATCAATTTGAAATACATGCAACGAATTCGAAAAATTCCATTCACAGAGATGAAATTGATCAGCAGTAGCCGCAGCAAAACAATTATTTCCATTGATTAGCATGTGACGTGCGGCTCTTGTGAAAAGCTATTTGTGTATTTTTTTATCCCTTTGAAACCCTATGAAAACATAACGAAATTGCTCACTGAAATGCAAAAATAAAAGCGCATGATATCGACATACGAGCTCCATCGCCTTTGTTACAGCTACTAATGTTTGTTCGTTCATTCCTTCGCCTCACTCATTCGTCTCTCTCGCATTTATATAATCAATAAAAATTCATTTTATGCAGGTGCAATGAACGCTCGCTCTAGTTACTAGGCAAGAGAGTAAGATAGAACTTAACGGCCCGACCGAACTAGGAATATCAAGTTTAAATTCTGTACAGAAAATTTGCACATTTTTCCCATTTGCATTGGCAACATGGAGCAATGTGCAATTTTTACTGTCAACCATTGACTTGACTTTAGCTCGATTGAGGTGTTTAGATGTGTAATTTACGTCAAACATTATATAGCCGGCTCTTTATAATCAACTGAATCACCAACACTACGCTGGTCGTCATCGTCGTCGTCGTTTTTATTTCATCTAATTTTATTGTTTATGTGACGAATAATGAAGTGAACACACGTTCTTATTGTTACGGCTTTGCCCACAGAGCAAAAAAATAAATCAAAGCGCAAACAAACACACACACACTAGTCGACAAAGTGACCGCATTGAAAAAATGCTGTGAATGCATTCACCTTAGTGGAATCGCACAACACAAAGCGAACACGCATTCCCTGAATGATCTTCACACACGATTGCAAATCGGTAACTATACGTTTCTCTCCCATTTCGAATTGATATTTCGTGCCGTCAAAAAACGAATGCTTCTAATTAATTATAGTTTTAGTTTTGAACGTATTTTTCTGTTTATGTTTAGTTGTAATGATGCAATAGCAAAGAATGATGCAAGCATGGGGAATTCTACAGCATTTTCTTTGAAATCAATGCATCGGATTCCACCATTGAATTTCACGTCTATTTCAATATATGCGCTTAATGAGCACATTTTTATTGATAACTGGGTAATTCGATGTGCATTTAGTTGCTCTTTTTTTTGAATAAAGATTCAAACGAGTTTTTCGGTTGACATCGACAATTTATTGGTCGAAAATCAGACAATGTATTTGGCTAATGTCAGCTAGCTAACTGAAAACATTCTGGCTGGCTCAGCGACTGAATTCTATACGTTGCGTTTTTTCATCGCAATCTGTAGTACAGAAATCATATATATATATGGAGATTTTTGTTTTTTTCATGTACCGGTATTTGTCAACAAGTCTGCCTATGCCACTAAACATAGTATACAGCCCATAAGAAATGTAAAATTTTCGCCATTTATTTTTACATTGCCAATACATTAGTTATGGGGATTTTTGTTTTGTTTATTTTTTGTTGTTTGTAAACAAATCTGCCTATCTTTTTGCATTGCCTCTGCACATTTCCTATGGACATATACTGTGCACAATGCACATTGACAATGCAAAAAGATAGGCAGATTTGTTTACAAACAACAAAAATCCCCATATATATGATTTTTGTACTGCAGATGCGATGAAAAAACGTAACGCATAGAATTCAGCCGCTGAGCCAGCCAGAATGTTTTCAGTTAGCTAGCTGACATTAGCCAAATACATTCTCTGTCCAAAATCAATCGAATCGAGCGAAGCTAATCGGAATTATGCCCATAAATGTATATCGCATTGGAGCCGATCACGTTTCGTAAATCAAGCTATTATTTTTTCGTGTGACGTCACACGTTTGATTCGATGCAAAGTGAATCATATTATCATTAAATTACGCTACTGACCGATAATAATGTAGCACGAATTTTTTCGGTGGCTCTCTCTCTCGAGACACAATTTATAATTTTGTTGCTTTTTTTCATGTTGCTTTTTGCACAGTTTCCATCACAATTTCATTCATGTTGTGCGCGAACTCGATACATGATCTCGTGGGGCTTCGTGCTTATATTTCACCTCTCTTTCTTACTGTCACCATGCGGTTACGTTGATGTCAACTGAGCCGATATTCTTGAGTCATTGTATGCATTTACTATTCATAAGTAACACACGCGGAGTATAATCGCTACACTTATTTTGCATTTTGCAATCTTGACCCTTCTCACTGTGATTTGCAATGGCCTAGCAAGGCTTAGAGTTGTACTCTCAATTTTTTTTCCAACTTTCGAATGATATGCACATTTTCCAAAGAAGAAAAACACACGCATACCCTCCATAAAGAAGTTGGGTGTGCGCGCGCCTATAAAATGATGATAAAAATAGCCGCGAGACAAAATTGATGAATGACAAAATGTTTTCGAGTTGATACGGGAAAGAACGAAACGTTCAATTGATATGAAATGTCTTAGTGGACAGCGAAAAAAACAACAATCATACAATTGGGCTTGATCACAGGAGGCACGTAGTCCAACCACATTAATGGCCGCACACATTGTAATGAATCGCCGATAACAATAACACGTTAAGAAATGCGAAGAAGGAAACGATTAATTAAAAGCGCAAAGCGATACTGTGTGTCATTATCATTTGGGAATGCCCTGAATGCAATTGATACACAATGCACAGACAAACGAATAAAACGGATCAACGTAATGTGGCCTCTGTGCGAATCTATGGAGCAAATGTCACACCACACTCGAAAGACAAATCACTTTATGACATACGACAGAAGACAAGACGAATGAACAGAAAAAAATCGAACCGATAAAGACCGGGTGACGAAACTCAAATAAATCAACAAATTAAACGGAACGAATAATTGAATTGCTTTACTGCGTGTATGAATTATCAGTTATCTCTTTGCTATTTTCGTTCCTCATTTAAAATTAGAGCAACTACAAAAGCAATACCGTACTCACACGAGACATCAAGAGAGAAGAAAAAAAAGAAATCTGACGTACGTGTTCAACTGAATGCCATTTACATTAGACAATAAACAAGGGATCACTCGGTGGCCTGCTGATGATGATGGCAGCAAATTGATTTAGTTGTTTACTCAGATCCTTCTCATTCGAAACGGTTTTTTTTATCGTCACCCGATTTTCGTTTACTCTGAAGAGATCACGAAAAACTACAAATTATAAGCGCGACATGTCGTGTGTTGCTCTATCTGTATATTTGACGGTGTACCTATTTACGCAGAATAAAAAGTATGACTCAATTGAGATCGTAAATCGTTTATTCTCGCTTGAAAGAGCAAACACAGGAATTAGAGAAACTCACACGGTTGTAATGAAAATGGCAACAATTATTGGAAATAAATAAGCTTTGAAAGGATTTATTTGCTATTTATTTCGCCATTCAACGTTGACGATGCAAATAATTGTCACATGAAGAATTGGAAAATAATGAACATTCATTGGTGTGTGCCGTTTTTAGCCTCTATTTTTTTTCTCCAGTCGCTAAAACACTTGGTGTGATTGCATCGTAATTTCCAGATTTCTATGAGTTCGATGTGTTTTTTTTATCAGCATCAATTTTCATGTCATTATTTCTGTCATTTACCCATGTGTAATCCGATGATTTTGTTGTCGATGTTGAGCGTAATTTTTACCGTCATTTTCGTGTTTCCGAGGTAAAACACACACAAAAATCCATCGAATTTCGAATGAAATGAAGACGACGACGAGTGCATGTGACAGCCGACTGATCTCTCTGCCTCTGCCTTATTTACTTCAAACATTCCGTATCACACATGCAAACACTTTCCATAATCTCTCTTCTAGCGCGCGGGCTCCATACACATATTTATGCGTCACTCTCAATCATACGGTAAACACATGCACACACACAATCTACGCTGTATATACTACGCGCTGCTTCCGAACAATAACAAACTCATACCGCTGGCCACGAAACGAAAATAACGACGACAACGACGCAGCAGCTACATTTCCATTGGAAAGATTGCCTCTCGCCTATAAAAACACTAAGCACCGAATGTCGGCTATTCATTTCTCAATTGCAATCCGTTGAATACAAATCAACTGCTTTCAACCAAATTAATCTTAATTACAAAAAATCATTTTCGATTCGTAGCGTTTTACAATTAACATTGCATTTCGAATTTCGATTGAAGTTTTTTTTTTTGTGCGAAAGAAAGAAAACAGTGAACGAATTCATTGAAATTTAAAAATAAAAGAAAGAAGAAGAAAAGACAAGAAATTGAACAGCGAAAAAAAAGAAAGTGCCACCAATATTGTGTGAAATTGATTGAATTCGTGAGAATATTCGACACAAAGAGAGAAATTTTCACGTTTTACATTGACTCAAAACAAAAAGGAAAGAAAGAACACCAATTTGGACCATTTCAAATGATCAAAAGACAAGCAATTCAATTAGCAATCAAATTTAAGCGATCAATTCCAGTTATTTGATTTGAACACAATAGTGAACTTTGCAATAAACAATACAACGACTTAGTGATATTAGAGATTAATTAAAAAGCGTGTATACATTCTAAGTGAATCAAATCTAATTTTAATTACTTATTTTCTTCCGTCGATTAAAAATATTTAAAAAAAAATACAAACCGTCAAAATGTCGACCGATATTTTCCACTCAAATCATCACACATCAAATAATCATTACAACTGGTGTGTATAATTCCAATGAAACGACATAGTTTTAAAATAAAACATTTTAAATATAACGAGATAACCTAATTTTACTTTATACAATACGATAATGAGTGGATAAAAAAGCAACATGTTTATTGCGTTTCTTTTCTGACTTCATATTTGTTTCTCTTTTTACTTGCAGTAACGGATCTCATCGCGGTTCAGATTTATCAGATTTATCCGACTTTGATATTGAAGAATTGATCAAAATGCATAAATTGTGTCGTCAAGTCTCCATCGAATCACCCGGACCAATTGTGAAAGACTGCGTTTTTTCATTTGTCGTACCAGTTCCTGATACACCGGAGTTTGGTGCTCGTGTCAAGGTAAATCATTCAGAATATTCTCTCTATTAATTTGGAATTATTTTTGGCCATTTCTCGACCGAAAAGAACATAAAGTGTTGTCGCTTTTTTAAATGACAACATTGCAAAGAAAAAAAATTCCACTATGGAATAAAAGAAACATACCGTAGCTGGAGTGTATATATCACAAAAATATACAAATACATAGACATATAATCAATGTTTAGTCAAAACAAATAGTGAATTCCATGCGCAACATTGGATTTCATATCCGCACAAACAGAGTGTGAGTTGCTTTTGTTTACTTCATTTCGCTACTGCGTCATTTATGTATTGAGTGTTTCGGTTGTGTTGCGTTGCAAGGCTCGAGAGCGCGAACTGAGTGTGTTTGTGTGCGTGCAGTACACACTGAACATTGTGAACACGCACTGCATGCATGATACACATTTATCCATTTGGATCGGCGACGCATGTACAGTCTATTGCGTATTTGGTTTTTTGTAACGAGCGTTGCCTTGGGAAATGATAAAAGACACGCACAGCAGTCTCTCTCTCTCTCTCTCTCTCTATGTCGGAATGGTTCTCAAAATGAGAAATTAAACTGGGCGAAAAGAAAAACACACAAATCTTTTGGCAATCAGACAACATTTTTGCATTGTGTTTCGGCTCGTCGTTGTTACACACATTTCGAATGATTTAATGACATTTTTGAAAATGTCAACTGTTATTCGAAAGCTTTTTTTTCGTTCCTGTCACAAACGTGAAGATTGTGAGCTAGATAGCCTTCTCCAATAAGGCGGTAGCCAAGATATTTGCGCGTGTCTTTCACCTTCGCAAAAATCTATTTTAAATTTTGCAACCGTTCACAACCATCACAATGCGAATGTTTATATTTTTATTTTTTAACCGTTGCTTTTTGTTTGTTCCCCTTTCAAAATTAGGTTGTGTATGCCGGTGCATGCTATCGCCGTCAAAAATCGCCATCTATGTCGAGTATGTCGAGCGTGTCGAGCATCACATCGGATTTGGCTGAATTGGCCCAACAAATGGCTGGATCTCCACAATTTAATTCGGCCCCAGCCCCAGCACCAGCTTATCATGGTTACCGTGATGGTGCTTTGTTCCCCGGCTTCGAGGTGGCCGGTGTCATCGAAGAGTTGGGCGCAGGCGTAACAAAAGACAGCGGATTCCATGTGGGCCAACGCGTTGTCCTCTATCCATTCGAAGACGTTCCAAATGGATATGCGGAATACATTGTTGTTCCAGAATTGAAATACTTGATTCCAATCCCAGATAGTTTGCAATTGAGCGTTGCAGCCATGCTTCCAACCGGTGCCCTTCTTGCCATGAACACCGTATTCGAAGCCCAAGAAATCGTCACACAATTGCTCAAAGAGCGTGAAGCCGCTCATGAAGCCGCACCCGAAACAACACCAGCACCATTGTGCCGCATTTTAATTGTTGGCACTGGCGGTCTTGCACTGTGGGCCGTTCGCATTGCTGCCTATCATTTCCATCAATTGGAAACGAGCAAAAGAGTCCAAATCACCGTTGCCAGTCTACGCGACGAAGGTTTCATGTTGGCTAAAGATTTCGAAAAGTAAGTGTATTTGCTTCAATTTGCTTGTTGAGCTGATTTTGGTTTTCGATAAGATCGAGTGCCAAACCGAAAATTACATTTGAGTTTGAGTTTGAGCTCTCTCTCATACGATTGCCATCACAGTTTTGCCTGAGAATTAATCTCTGTTTATATGATTCTCTAATTATTATTATTTTTTTTCTCGAATTTATCATCAACAGAGTGAACGTCGTTCAATGGAGCGAAGATTTATACGAGAAGCAATTGATTGAGCGAACAATTGATGCTTGCGGCGGTGCCGTTGATATTGTAATCGATTTTGGAACCACATCACGCAGCTTGCATCGATCGATGCAGTGCTTAGGTGAGGGCGGTGTCGTACTCGTAAGCGAAGAAGTGGGTGAAAAATTACTGCCCAAATTCTCCAGTTTGGCCGAGAAACGTAAACAAAAATTGCGCTCCGTTGCCAACGGAACGATCGAACAATTGACAGAATTAGTCGAATTGGTATCATCACATAAGGTGAGTCGTCTTGAACATGTATTCATTATCACTTAAATCATCATTATCGAGTGTCCACTTAGATTGTTTACAACAAACTATTTGATACTACTCAACTTGATTTGTTGAACTTCAAACTGTCTGATGACACGATTGTTTTTCATTCACTTGAACTAAAACGATTTGTTTTTTTTTTTTGTTGTTGTCTTGATTTCATTTATCCAGATTGAACCACCACCACACTCTGTGTTCCCATGCGATGATGCCCAAGAGGTCGTCCGCAAATTATGTCAATCAGAGATTCCCGGTCGTGCTATATTGAAATTCCACGACATTGAGTAATTTGGTTTTTAGCCATCTATATTCTAATAGCTATACAAAACAGCTTAAATTAGTTCATAACAAAACAACAAAATATCTATTCACTTTAAACAAACAAACAAAATCAATGTATTTGCGTATACACACAACCAACTGACAACAACAACACAAAACACAGAGGAGATGAAAAAGGAGTAATTAGCATGGGCCGAAAATGATGTAAGCAGCTGTATTTAGACACAACAAAACGACAAAAAGAAACGATGAACGATTTTTTGTGCTACTGCTGCTGCTGTACAGGAGAGTGTACTGATGTGTTCCATTATTGTGTACGTGTGTGTGTGTGTGTCGAAACCAAATTCGAGTAAAACCATATTCACTGGCTTTAAAAGTAATGACTTGCACATCGAAAAGCAGCGCACACTAAATTTTCTGCGTTAAAATTTCGGACAAATATCAATCAATTTAATGGAACACACGATTTCTCCTTCCGAAAAATCGAGACAGCAAGGTACACAAACACACATATACACGGTAGCTAAGGTGTCGTAGACTAATACGAACATTCATTAATCACATACATAATCCAATTAGATTATCGAACAACATTTTCAAAAAAAAAAAAATGATAATTGATATTTCAATGAAGCAGCAAAGTGTCTCTTTATCAACGTTCAATGAAAAACAAAAAAATTCTTGCTGATTACTGGCAAGGTTCGTCATTGTTTCGGTTTGTGTGCAAATTGCGCAAAAAAAAAACACCAACAACAACACTGACAACAACCGAAACTGATAACAAGAACGATGATGACAAAGAGACACACGCCGCCACACGCAATAATCGTGGATGGTCGTTGCGGTTCTTTTTTGTATGTGCGCGCGCGTGTGATCATCATCAAACCGAGATAAGAACGATCGATCACGGTGATTGATTTGTCCATTTGAAATTGGTACATAATCGAAACTGTAGTGATGTAGTCGCAATTGCGAGCGCGCACTGCATTGTTGGTGTTTGTAAAAATTCGGGGGATTTGTTGAGAAGGTGTGCGCGCGTTTCTCACACACACACACACACAAGCTCAATCGACTGATATCAATCGACAAATCCTCTCAGATTTATTTGGATCTGCATTTTTTTTTCTCTTAATAATAAGATCCCGGTTTTTTCTTTTGTAATTTCTTAATCACAAACGATGTGAATGCATCGATTTTTATTTTCGAAGCAATTGGCAAGAGAAAACCCCAAAATAATGGAGCCAGTTTTTGCGACGACAAACAAACAAAAAAAAGCACATAATTCAAGCAAAAAAAAACACATTAATTGAATTCATTAGTATTATATTGTTAACTTGATTGAAAGTGAGAAAAAAACTACGTTTGACGATGGTTTAAAAATAATCCTCTATTTTTTTGATGTCAAATTTAAAAAAGGAAAAAAAAATTACATTTAGAAATTGAGAAAAAAATATGTCTAATTAGTTTAGTAAAAGTCACTCGCATCTCACATTGCTTTTAAAAAAAAAACATGTCCGTTAATACAATTGGCAAACACACACAATTTTACGAAAACCAAAAATTATTGTTACAATTATAAACAAAAAGAAGAAAACAAAGAAGAAAAATTGAAAGAGAACAAAAATAAAAAAGCAAAAAAAAAATTGCGATTTAAATGGGATATAAGCACTTCGTAGAGAGAATTGTCTCAATGCGAACCGTCGTAGATTTTGATTCATGTGAGACGTGCCTTTGGCACATAACAAATTCACATATACACAATTTAGTACTAGGACACATAGGTTTCACATATACACAACCCCTCTCTTTTTTTTAATTTGATTTTTTTCCCGTTTTTTTCGTTCTTCTTCTGAATTTGTTTAGAGGTTTAATTTATTTTATCGAGTACAACAAAAATTTATTAAGGAAACAAAGAAAGCAAAAACAAAATGTTTAGTGTGGAAGTTCAGCATTGGGCATTGCAGCAGGCGATTTCAATTAAAACACTTTTCCAAAATGAAAATCTTCCAAGATTCTCGAACCGACCGATCTCAAATCATTTGAGCTTGACCCTTTTGATTTTGTTCAAGTGAGAGTCGACATGCAATTTTGTTGAGCTTCCAACTGAACTATATATATATACCATTAAACAATCCTCCCATTCATCAAATCGAATGAAAATTTAACGAAAATAGAAAAAAAAAACATAGAAAATAACAAACAATTGTCAAATTTCATGGTTAGATTTTATTTTTTTAGGTATCATATTTTTAGTTGAAAAATGAATTGTGATAAATTTGTGAAGAGATACAAACGATAAAAACAAAAACCAATAACAAATTGAAAATGAAAACACATAAACATCTTTGGTGGTTGTTTTCTTTTAATTTTATGATTTTTTTTGCAGGTTTTTTGCTATTGTTTTCAGGTGTTTGAAAGAAAAATTGCATTCTTTTTCGTTTTTTTCCCCTTCTTTATTTCAGTATAAGAAAATTGATTCTTGATGTTGTTGTTTATTGAACTAACTAAATTGTTCGATTTAAAGATATTTCATGTATTCAAAATACAGAAGAAGCAAAATATTGGCCGCAATCCTATCGCTTATGTGTATCGCGACATTTTATGAATGTGTTAGCAGTAAAGTTGAATAACACACATATTGATTTGCCTGGGAGTTGTCTTAAAAAAAATACTTTTGAAGAAAATAGATGGGAAGTCCTTTTGAAAATTGGGAAAAATAGAACGAGAAATTGAGTTAAAGAGATTGAAGCACACACACACACACATATTTTTTTTTTGCTTGAATAACTGTCATAAGAAGTGAGACAAATTTTGACGAATAAGAAACAAATATTTGCATATATTCATATGCTTAACCAATTGTGCGGTGTGAATAAACGTAAAATTGCAAATAATTTATTCGAGTATTTTATGTATAAGGAAGCAAATGAATTTTGAAATGGTTTTACCTGATCCGAAGCACCTTCGTTCCTATTAAGATCGATTTCATAGCATTTTAGTGTTGAAGACACCGGCATTCAATTATTCATTAAGGGAAAGTTACATAATAAAGTAATTGAATTAACTGAATGTTATGCCGCACAATTGACGACGACTGCTAACAAAGCGAATATCAAGAAGAAGAAGAAGAAGAAGTAAACAGAAAAACACTAAAAACAACAATTTAGAATATGAATGAGCACAAAATGATTATCAATTAAAGCAAATAGATTACGAAACTTGGCCGAAACCAATCACAAATACAGCACAGCACAGCAGCATACACACAATACACATTGTTCTTCATTTTTTTTTCTCTCTGGTTGTTCTGCGAACGTAAAGCAGTATTTTCGTATGCACTGCTGGTGTATCGCATCTAATTGAATTCGATGGTGTCACCATCAATCAACACTATTGAATAAAAAATGAAGCATCCAATAACAATTTTTACAATTCGACGATAGAAATAAAAACAACAACATACTTGACGATATTTACTCGCTCTAGGATTTGTTGAAGCTCCATTATAGTTGGGCAGAAAGTATTGTGACGAAAAGGAACAAAAAATGACATTCGAATGCTCTCCGTGTGACTTTTTGAGAGGCTTGAAAAGACTAAAATTAAAACCATGAACTAATTGTTGCGCCTGATGTAAACATTTGTGAATGCATTTGCGAAAAGAGTGACATCAAAAAAAAAACTAGACACTTCATCATGATATTCAACCGAAACATCATTATTACCATTTAACAAATAAGAATAAGATAAAAACAAAATAACAAATGTGAAGTTAAACCAAAATCTACTAAAAAATAAAGAAAAAATACATACATTTTTAATGCGAAATCCAGTTGTTTTTAATGAAATTAAAAGACTTTACAGCGGCTGTGATCATGATAACAATCGAATGCAATTGAGAGTAGCATCCAACTGAGTATACAAACGCAAAGCTCTTACATTGCTCGATTTCGACATGACAAACACAAAGGTACGGGCCGATAAGAAGGCAAGAGCTGGAATTTAGAGGATTGCGTAAAAATGAGCAAACAAAAATCTAATACAGAGTTTGTAGTACAGACATCATCAGAATGTGTTCGGCACATAAATAATTCATGCTGATAGTTCTGATGATCTGCTTTGTAAGTGTTTGCCTCTGAAAATAGCATTGTCGAAATCCATTTTCTTCTTCACGCCAAAGCTACTGCTGAATCTTTGATAACAACGATTTTTTCGTTGCCTCTTATTTTGAGTTTTCATACCGAATCTGTCAGATGTTTCTTGTGAACGGTGCGATGCTCTGTAACGTATTTTTTCTTTGATTTATTAACATCTGAATAAAATACAGAAATATATTTTATTCCATTTCTTTTGTGGACCAAAAAAAAAACACACGCCAAAAATAGATTTTATTATTCTACTGGTTACCTTGACTGGCTGTGGGGTGCAAACTGCGCATGCAAATTACTTTGGCAACTGTGATTACTATGTTCAATTGGATGCAAACGAAGGAAAATCCGTGATTAATCCCGGCGGCTATGTCAGCATCTTGGGATATTTTGGATATTTTGGCTTCTTTGATCCCGGTTCAGCGTGTCGATATTTTATTGAGTGTCCACGAAATTACGTGATTCGACTTTATTGCTATCTCAACATTGCGGTTACGGTATTTAAACTGAACGTTTTTTATCACGACATTTCATATTTGAATATGCACAACAAGTCGTTATCCTCTTTGGATTACAGTGTGATGATGTAATCATCACACATTTTAGGCGTTATTCAAATGTGTAGAATTACGGAATTAAGAAGACAATTGTTAACAATTTGGATACTTTATGTTTTAACATGTACAATTTCTTGGGTTCAGGGTGAAGGCAATGATTGTAAAACCGAACAGTTTCGAGTATTAGACGATGGAACGAACCAAATTTTAGACAGGGGCACATATTTCTGCGGTCAAGGTGTCGTTAAAATTCAATCACGAGCCAATTTTATTACCTTTGGTAAGGAAATGGTATCGGTTTCAAACCGCAAAATAATGCACAAATACAAAATACAAATAATGCATTCCACAGTTAACACTATGACTGTTCTTCATATTTGCAACATATTACTGTTCTTGGGGGACTCCAGGGCCCCCAAGATATTTCATATGAAATCTGGACTGTGATAAGAGATAACAAATTAGTGTCTGAAGCAAAGTTGTAAGTTTTGTACTCAAAGTTTTGTACTCAAAGAATTGTACTCAAAGTTTGCTATAATTTTGGCGCAACAAATATTGCTTATCTCTTATCAGTTCCGCGAAAAACGCGAAAAAACGCGAAAATCGCAAAATTTTCCGACATCGTTTTAGTGAAGCTGATAAGAAGTAAGAGACTTGCCTCTTCGACAGAAATGTAGAGCAGGTCGAATACTACAACTTTGCCACAGACACCAAGTCGTTATCTCTTATCAGTTATGCGAAAAAATGATAAGAAAAAATTCGCGGTTTTCGCGGTTTCCGCGTAACTGATAAGAGATAACGACTTGATGTCTATGGCGAAGTTGTTGTACTCAAGCTGCTCTACAACTTTGCCGAAAACCATCTGGTTATCTCTTATCAGTTTCGCGGAATACGCGAGAAACCGCTGAAAACCGCGAAAAAACGCGTTTTTTTCTTATCATTTTTCACGGAACTGATAAGAGATAACGAGATGGTGTCTATGGCAAAGTTATAGCTCTGGTCGAGTACTATGATTTGCCACAGACCTTAAGTCGTTATCTCGTATCAGTTACGCGAAAAAATGATAAGAAAACATTCGCGTTTTTCACGGTGTTCTGCGGTTTCTCGCGTATTCCTCGAAACTGATAAGAGATAACGAGATGGTGTCTTTACCAAAGTTGTAAAGCAGCTTAAGTGCTACAACTTCGCTATAGACTATAAGTCGTTATCTCTTATCAGTTACGCGAAAAGTCGCGAAAACCGTGAAAAACGCGAATTTTTTCTTATCATTTTTTCGCGTAACTGATAAGAGATAACGACTTGGTGTCGTTGTAAAATTGTAGTACTCGACCAGAACTACAAATTTGCCATAGACACTATTTCGCTATCTCTTATCAGTTTTGCGGAATACGCGAAAAACCGCAGAAAACCGTGAAAAACGCGATTTTTTTCTTATCATTTTTTCGCGTAACTGATAAGAGATAACGACTTGGTGTCGTTGTAAAGTTGTAGTACTCGACCAGAGCTACAACTTTGCCATAGACACCACCTCGTTATCTCTTATCAGTTCCTTGAAAAGTGAGAAACTATGAATTCGCGTTTTTCACGTTTTCGCGGCTTTTCGCGTAACTGATAAGAGATAACGACTTGATGTCTACGGCGAAGTTGTAGAACAGCTTGAGTACTACAACTTCCTCATAGACACCAAGTCGATATCTCTTATCATAGTCCAGCTATAATATAAAATAGCCATGGGGCCCTGTGGTCCCCCAAGAACAACAGCGTAACATGTTTTGCGGCAGGCTGTATTTTACACATACTCACACATATGCATATGTTTTTTTTTCATTCGTGTAGAGAAATGTTCAATCTATACAATGAGACTTAACTCCGGTTGTTTTATACACTGTTTAGTACTTTTATTCAACTTTAAAGTTCGCTGGGGGCCCTGGGTGCCCCAAGAACAATCATAGTGTTAAAGAGCGAAGAGTTTTTTTTTGAAGAGTTAAAGCTTATAAAATGAAGGAAAAAATTCCATAATTGCATTTCTTATGTAAAGAACATTTTAAAAGCTTCAAAACATTTTTTGCATATTTTTAGGTCATACCTCATCGTACTACAGCGGCAGATATAATTGTACACTTGTATCAATGTTTCGGAATCCATTCTCGATCACATGAAAAGTAATAGCGAAACAAGTCGCCTTGATATCGCAATTTATTGCGGAACATTTATTGAAGTTGAAATGAGCCAGAGTTTTTTTTTAAAATAATTTTAATAAAATTGAATCAAGAGTGAGATAAGTTGATTAAATAATGTATTCATGAAAATCAGTTTTATTTTTGAAGTTTTTCTCATTTTTCCTTCTATTTTCCTTTTTTTTTTTTATGGAAAAAATATACAATTCCCCTTCATTTTTTTCTACTGGTTATCATAGCGCGACGCAACGTCCATCCAGTACTTAACTTGAATACATGGGCAAACGTGTTCCAATCTCGCTTAAGTACATTGCTCCGTCACATTTGACATTTGACAACAGTGTCATCAGCTAATTAATGCCAATATCACGGGAACTAGGCACCGAATACTCAAAAAAAAAGAAGAACATTAGTCCCAATTTTCTTTCGGATTTCGTTAATTAAATTGTATAAATTTTATTCGTTTAATTGATTCGGTGGATCGAGTGCGGTGTTTTACGTTTCACATTTTAACTATTCCAATTCATATCAATCAAATTTTATTGTAAATCATGTGGTCCGATACAGTACTGATTATATTTATTTCGTTGTGTACGGCATTTTTGGGTGAAGGTAAATTGAAGTTGGTTAATTACATTTCTGGTGGTAAAATTGCCAACCGATTCCGATTCGTTTCCACTAAATTATTTACCCAATCGATTTTAGGATTGACGTGGCTGCTAGTCTATCGAACAGATAAATTTCAAAAACTAAAGACTGAAATCGAAAAACAAAGCAAAAAATGTAAGTTTATGTCATGAAATGATGAAAAATATGAAATATCGAACTGCGAAAAGAAATTTAATAAAATTCTTTGAAAAATTTATAGTGGAAAAGCGGAAAGAGACGTTGGGCGATTCGCTGGACAAGCAACACAAGAAGAAAATCGAACGTGATGAAGAAAAACTGAAGAATAATAATCGAGATTTGTCTTTGGTGAAGATGAAGTCAATGTTGGCCACCGGTTTTGCGTTCACTGCTCTTCTCAGCATGTTCAACAGCATGTAAGTGATGCGTGGAGTAAAAAATGTACATTTTACATTGTGCAGAGCAAGAAAACATTGTTTAAAACTTTGTTGTTTGAATTAATGTTCAAAACGCGTATTTATTTCAACGAAATATTTACTCAAGACAAATACTTTTTTCTGATTTTTACAGTTTTGATGGTCGAATTGTAGCTCGATTGCCGTTTTTGCCGATATCATGGATCCAAGGTTTGAGCCATCGAAATTTGCCCGGCGATGACTACACTGAATGTTCCTTCATATTTTTGTACATTCTCTGCACCATGTCAATCCGACAGAATATCCAGAAATTGCTCGGTTTTGCACCATCACGAGCAGCTAGCAAACAAAGTGGCGGTCTCTTTGGCGCTGCACCTGGCCAATTTAAATAAGCCATGCTCTGCCATCCAACTACTCAAAATACGTGTATTTTTCACTAAATGCAATAAAATGCCAAGAAAATGATTAAACAGAACAAAGAAAAAAGTCGAAACGAAGCGAAACCAACGTTTAAGGTGAATTTAGATGAAATTTAAGTAAATAATAATAAAGAAAAAATTGTACTTGGAATCAATCGAAACAAAAACAGAAAAACTATTCAACGTACAAAATAAACGAATTGAAACTAATGTCAATGTTTTCTGTTTATTTGCGTTTGAGACACTTTTTTCTCTCTGTGTGTATTTCAGTTTTTTTTTTCTTTGGTTAATTTTCGTCAGAACATAAAGGAAAAAAAGCAACTGGTGCCTATGGACACAATTTGGAGATGCAGAATTTTCTCAAGGTCGACATCACAAAAACTCTTCACAGACAAACAACATTTACTTTGCTACAATTCAAATACTTTTTGTGACTACTGCGAATTTACTTGGGTCCTCAATTAATTTGATCCAATCGCTTTTTTTTTGCTGAAATAAATTGTTGTTTACATTTCAGTCCACGTGAATCAAATAAAATTTTGAAGGAAAAAAACTCCTGCCAATATATATAAATAACATCTCGATATTTTCGGCAGTTCAATAAAGTTTACCGATGCAAATTATTTTACTATATAAGTTAATATAAATTTTCTTTATGTTCAACCTGGAAATCGCACTAAAAACATGATCGCATTCAAGATTCAAGTGATAACCGTCATAGCGGTAATAATCGTAAATGTATCGATTGTGAATGGATGGTTTGAGCGTTCAAACTATCGCGTGGATTTGGAATCGAATGCTGTGTTTCCACTGAAATCGTTGCCATATCAGCGTGGTTCATCAACACGTGTAGTATTTGTCGGTCAAAGTGGTGCTAATTTGACGCTGATTTGCAATATCAATTTTTCCAAGGGATGCCGTCGTTGCGATTTCTTTGGTGATACAACCATTACTCGACGTGGTTCATGTTGCGATGACTACTTTTACGTTGGATATAATTTAGACCCTAACATCCAAGGTGCAGAACGGTTTTGTGGTGTCAAAACGATACAAAAGAATTCTCGCCAAACATCCGGTCGACCGGTTTTAGTTATTGGTAAGACTAAGTTCAATTCGATTTTATTTGTAAAACATTTCTTTACAAACTTTACTCTGCTCTCAATTTTCTAAAGCTACATCAGCCACTAGGAATGGTCGTTATGGCAAATATAAATGCTACATTTCATCAACGGGCAATTCGTCAACAACATCATCAACAGCAGCATCAACAGCAGCATCAACAACCCCATAAAAAAATCCACATCTAAAATATGCTCAACATGTTCTCTATATTAGTATGGCTCACATCAAATTTGTGCTTATTTTTGGTGTGATTCAGATTTTCACACCAAAAATTCCATACAAAACGAGCATATTTTTGATGTGACTGACATTAAATGATGTTTCGGTTTTGCCGTTGCAACGGTCATTTATATTGACAACTTGCCTATCATTCTATTGTCAGCCACATCAAAAATTTGCTCGTTTTGTATGGAATTTTTGGTGTAAAAGTCTGACTCACACCAAAAATGAGCACAAATTTGATAGGAAGTTGATGTGAGGCATACTAATTTAGGGAACATTTTGAGCACATTTTTGATGTAAATTTTCTTATGGGATCGCAGCTGCTGAAGAAGAAACACCCGACGAAGATTCATAATGTAAGATCCACGGCATTTTTTTAAGTAGTAGAAAAAAATATTGGATGGTTCGAGTTTCCATAAAAAATAAAACTTGTAACAATTTATCCGGATTAGATATATTTTCGTCATGTGTATTCAAGTCTAATAATGCTTTTTGGATGTACGTCATTTGATTAGAATAAAAAAAAGCATCAATTTGTTTGACTGATAATGAATTGTTTGCATATCGAGTGAAACAGGCACATCAGATAAACTTGTGCAAATAATGTTAATTATAAATAAACATCGGGCAGATTATCAAATATTGTTGTTTTTTCTAGAAAGTTACAAAATTTGAAGAAAAAACGACAACAAACGGTTGTGAAGAAAAACGCTTCGAGTAGAAAGTCTTGATTGTCTACAGACGCAAGTTTATCCAGGAGTTTTGATCTAATTTCAACTGAATATTCCCTGACTTTCTTCATCACCCTGCTATAAATCAATGTGCACATAAGATGCAAACACGTGTGTTTACTCTATTTATGTTAAGACATTCTGAATTAACAATTCAGTGAATGTTTTTTCCAGAAAAACATTTCGTATTTGCTTAGATGTTTATAAATTTGTGAGTTGCAATAAAAGGATTGATAAAAAAAAACTGCGTCGTTTTCTTTTCCTCCCAATTGTATCAAAAAATCACACGAATTTTATCTGTATTCATTGAGCAACGGCAATAAGGTTACCGGGAACACGAAACGGTTGATGTACATATCGAGAAAAGGAATATTTACTACGTTTCATTGTTTTTGCACTTGATAAATAGATCTCTTCTGGTGCCTGAATCGACATAAATATTTATCTTTTAATTGCCTTTTTCTGTGTCTGTTCAAATAAAAATCGTCATAGACCATTTTTTCAACATTTTCAACATCTCACGAGAGATAGAGTTGATTCGAAGAATTTAGTCTAATTTAATTACTTGTCTGTGGCGCTGTGTATTGTGTGACACTTTTTTTTAGGAGAAAACTGAAGCAATAAAAACCATGCGAATTGAGGCAATCGTTTGTAATGAGTTTTCTGTTAACTAGAATCGAATCCAAGTAGTATTCGATTGAATGATCAATCGAAATTTTTACGAAAAAAAAATAATAACGGAACTTGAATTGTTTTAACGGATTTTTATTGCAGTATCTTTTTTGGCGCTGTGGCGTACAACAAATGCTTATTCAAACTGTCAACCCAAAAGCTATTATGAATTGGGTTCTGGTGAATCAGTAACAGTTAATAGTCCAAATTATCCGCCGTATGGATTTAACGTGAATACAGCTTGTCAGTTTACGGTTTCTGGACCAATTTATCATGAAATGTCAGTTTCATGCCACTTTTATATTGGGGTATGGTTTCAGTAATTGAATGACAATTTAATCAGCAAATTTATTGAATCATCGAAATGATTTGGTAAAATGTTATTTATAAATTGTGTGACGATTAGGTTCAAGCTGCAGATGGATCATGTGATGTAAGAGATAGTCTGCAAATACTAACCGATGGTACGACCAATTTTGCTAGAGGAACTGCAATGCGTTTCTGTGGTTCAGATAAAACCATATCCAACCTTAAATCAGCACATAACTCAGTTACGATCGGTAAGTTGATTGTAAAACAAAATCGTTCAACAAAGAACTTTTAGAGGTAGAATCTTTTGTTGCATCCAATAACAGACCCTGCTGATATTAGCAACAGCACGATGCATTGTTAAATTCTAAATTTGGATGTCGTTGAAAATCAACGATATCAATTCATCCGTTCAAGAATTTTTCTTCTATCGATTTCCCATATTTTCAGCATATACGTCAACAGAGTATTCTGGATTTTATTCCTGCGAAATAAAGGCAATTTCCAAAAGTTCATGTGACTGTGGCACCAAAAATATTGTAATTGTTGTTCAAAATGTTTTTATATTTTCTCAAAAGACGAAAATTTGTTATTCACTAAAACTTATCGGTTTTTCGTGATTTATCTAGCCGAAAATTGTTGGAGGTCAAGCGGCGGAAATGAATCAATACCCTTATATGGCTGCTATCATGAAGAAGAGTCAAAGTCCTATTCTCAAGGGTGGAGGAACGATACGTATGATTTCTTGTTATGAAATTTACGGAACACAATTTTTGCATATCCATTTGAAACCACTTGTTTTCCTCTCAAATGTAGTGTCCACAAACGTTGTGGTATGTGCAGCTCATGAGCTTTGGGAGAATGGTGCTATAATGTCAGCGAATACATTACTTGTAACAGTTGGACGCCGAAATTTGAAATTAGGTGGGTAAAAACATATGATTTAAGTTTTATTTATGGCCGAAAGATATAAAAATACCAAAAAAATAAATTCTTTTGGAAAAATGACTTACACATTGACTCAAATGACTTGACAGTGTTGTTAGGAAAACTGTTTGCAGAAAAAAACATTTTTCCAACAAAAAAAACTCATCTCAATGCAGTAACGGAAAAATGGCAAAGTCTTTGAAGTGAAATCAAAGGAATAATGACGATTTTTTTTTCTTTTAATTAAAAGCTTTGGCAGATGACACACCATATGCAGAAAATTATGATGTCGCCCAAGTCATTTCGCATCCACAATATGATTACAATACTGGAAGAAACGATATTGCTGTCATTCTGGTGAAAGTAAACTTTAGATTCAACAGAGGTGTACAGGTGTGTGTGTGTGTGTGTTTTTCTGAGATTCTTGAATATTCTAACGATTTTTCGATTTAAAACTTTTCTTATTTGTTTATGTTGCACTTTAACGAAACAAACAAATTGTTGGTCAATGAAATAGCCATGTTGTTTGCCATCCTCGAATGAACCGTAAGAGCCAATTAGATTTTCCTGTTTTCCAAAATGTGCCTTTTTTTTCTCATCAAAACCCATTTCATTGAAGGCAAAACAAGTACTATGGGCAACAATTGAGAGCAATGGGTTATGGAGCGGTTGATTTCGGAAAGGATTATTCGTATTATTTGAAATATGTTGACCTGTCTGCGATGTCGAATAGTCAATGCGCTGCATATTATGGAAATGATTTGGTTGTATACAATGAAGATTTATGTCATAGTAGTAGTGCTTCTGGCGACACGTGTCAGGTTAGTAAATAGTAAATGTCATTTCGATGACCCGCAAATCAAATCCATGGACATTTTTTTTCTTCGGTCTAGGGTGATTCTGGTGGGCCAATAATTCAAGTTCGTTATCGAGATTTCTTGGCGTGTTTGGTAAAAACTGGACCGGATTGTGCTGGTGGTGCTCCCGGCATGTGTCAAAAAATTGGACCATACATTGAACCCTTCATCATGAAAGTATCGCCACCAAAAAATTATTACTGTCGTTTTGAATAAATTGAATCCAAAAACACCTATCCAGATTTGATCTTTTATTTCGATTTTAGTTCCAAATTACCAACTGCTTTTAGATATGCATAAAATCTGTCATATCGACCGCAGTGTAAACCGTATTTTCAAAGGCACGACAGGAGGCGCCACATGATTAGTAGTTACTTTGGCAGATCACCACAATAGCATTTGGCATTTAGAGCAAGTTGTATTTACAAAGCTTGGACTTTGCCGTAAACAGCTCTTGTTTCCCTCAATAAAACACAGTTCATTTTGATTTTCGTAATTGATTCAGTTCAAAGAGGAAATTCCAAGCAAATCATCGAAAAATCCATAAAATTCCAAGCAACGATGGGTGACCGATACAATATTCACAGCCAACTCGAGCATTTGCAAAGCAAATACATTGGAACGGGACATGCCGACACCACCAAATACGAATGGTTAACCAATCAGCATCGTGACTCGTTGGCTAGTTACTTGGGCCACAGTGATTTGCTCAGCCTTTTCGCAATCGCCGAAAATGAAACCAAAGCTCGTGTCCGATTCAATTTGATGGAACGAATGCTACAACCATGCGGACCACCACCAGAGAAGGCCGAAGAATAAACACGTCAACCGTAAACGATTCGATAAACAAATTTCAATTTGTAAGAAATGACAAAAAGATCCAATAAAATTAAGACAGTCTTAAGAAAATTAAGCCAATGTTTGTGTTTTATTTCATACAAAAAAGAGTAGCAAATTGTTTGTTAGTCGATTTTCTTGCTTTGTTGTTTCTGATGTTCGGTTTCGTCGATGCTGTTTTTCACTTTGTTGACTAAAATCTGTTGAATAATCGGTACGATTTGCTTATTGTGTTCACGTAGCACTTCGGTCAAACGGGATACCGTTTCGCTGCTCATCAATCCACAACACCACAATTCGGACACTTGCTCGAGTGTGTGAAGCGATGACACTACGATTAAACCATGCTCTTGATCCAAATCAACGCTCGTACACACATCTTCTTCATCTCTTGTCGGATCGACCAGCAATTGATTGTCAACAATAGCGACTGCCGTTGCTGTGACAATGTCATACATTGGAACGCCCGCATCAGAAATGGCCAAACCAGCTGCTGTGATTGCAGCGGCCAACACTGAACCATCGTCTTCAATCACATTCACGTAGATATCGACTTGGAAATTTGTAAACGCATATCGACACACTGCCGGCAACAATGCTCGCTTCAATGAAAGTGCCAAGGATTTTTCAACCACATCATTCTTCGTCGCTCGTCGTTTGGTTGCAAACGGTGAAAATTTGAATTCACAATACAGTTCACCATTTGTGCTGGAAACAGGAGGGGAAACAGAATTAGTGTTTGATTGAATTTCAAAAAAAATAGTTTTTTCTCAACATTTTGCTATATTGCAAATGCCATTGATTGAAGAGATTTCACTATTTTCATTAATTAAACCTTGATATTTACTTGAAGTTATTCTGTTTGTTGGCTACTTCACGTGGATCAAACACTGAAACAATCACTTTTGTGTTTCCCATTTCGATGTATGCCGAACCTTTCGCCTTCGATATGACATTGAGCTTCAAAACTGAACATAGAAAGGACACAATTTAAGTGAGAAAACTTTCTTTTTTCTCAATTTCAAAATCGGAATGTACTTACATATCTTTCGTGCTTCTTCGAATTTACGTTTATCCTGCCGCTGACCGCCTTGCAATGTTGTAGCCAGTTTTTCTTGATATGTTTGTGTTTTCTGTCGACTACTCAAATGGTAGGGCGTAGACTCGGGTGCAGGGATTCTCTTGCTATCACTGGCCATCTTTTGCTTATTATGCGTTCAATTCGAATTTAAAAACGGAGAAAAACAATCTACTGTATGATATCACGTTGGTTTGTATGCTAACAAATAGGTGTATGTTGAGGTTATGTGTCTAATGTTATTTTGATTTGAATCTGTCAAATGAAAAAAAAGTCGCACCAATACAAATGCAACCGAATCGCTGCAAACACCGTTTTTTCTCGTATGTAGAAAGTACACGTGAATCTCTTTGAAGGACCAGTAATTTGCGGTCGATGAATTTCGATGCGATGCGTTTTCATAAGAATCGATTGATTTCAATCAAAATAAATTGCGATAATGTTCGAAGAGATGAGCTTTATTTTCTTCTCCATTCTAAATTACAATTGTTTCTCTTTCTTTTTCTCCGATATTTAACAAAGTAAATGTTGCTGATTCTTTCGTCTTTATAATAATTTGTACATGTATTTAGAAGCAATTTTATGAATTGAACTCTGGTTTGCACACAGCAAATAAACGTGCATATTTTTCAAAAGCCAAAGTTTTTTTTTCTTCTTTCGTTCAAGCGTTGTGTGTTCCTTCTAAAATAACTTTCCATGGAAATGCTTAAATGAACGATATAATATATGTATATAGGATTCAGTAGTCGTTTTGGATTCTATTGTGTTTTTTTTTTCAATTTGTTTATTAGTTTTTTTCTTTTTTTTTAATCTTAGGGAAATGCGTTTTTCAAACAACAAAACAAGAATTTGACTGAACATTTTTTTTTTTAAATCATCTCTTTTCTAATAAGATTGATTGATCTTGTCTTTGCGCGCACATTTATTCTTTTCATTTATTTCTTGTTAAACTTTCGTTCTTTTTCTTCTGTGTCTGTATGTTTGTCTGTCTAACCAATGATCATGCCAATGCCCAGTCGATGTTGATTTTTAACGTGATTCAAATGACCACTAATGGCGAGAGTAAATGGTAATGGCAATAAGCGTTTTTCAAGCACAGCGCCCACATTCCAATTTGTATCTAACATTCCGCGAAACACTAGATCGGCTTTTGGTAAGTCGATTTGATAGCCAAATGTGCCAACGGCCTCTTGTACACGGAAATTGGTTTCCACTTCAACTCCAAACTGTAGCTGCTCGCTGGCTTTGCGATAATAGCACACATGAACACCGGCCAATCCAGCCGTTCCCGACCATGTGGACAAACCGTTTTGATAGCGTGCCGCAGCCGAGATAACAGCAATTTCACCGCCAGGAACAGCTCGACCATATTGATAAGCTAATTCACCACCGAGCGCCAAACTTTTTGTTACCTACAAATGAATTGCAAAGAGAAATTTGGTTTTTATTTCGTTGTTTAATTTGTTGACCAATCAATTGATTTCATTTAATCGACGGATCGACTACACTTACCGATTGCAAATAATGAGCGACCGCAACACCGGACTCATTGATTAAATCTGTATTGGCGAGAGTAAGTGATGCCGTGAAATCGCTGCCTTTGTAGTCCGTAGTCAATTGAGCGGCCGATATTTTGTTATCCTGTATTTGCGAACCGAATTTACAGCGTATATTTTGGTTAAATTGATGTATGATGTTAGCATTCATGTTGCCCGATGGATCGATATCGCCCAAAACCACTGGAAATGCTTCGGTCGGTGACAATTGCTTTGTGCCAACGTATGTGGCACCGAATTTATAGCCACTTGGTGCTGTCGATGACAAATTGATTGTGTGTGACACTTGAAAATGGGCGCTCAAACCCTTTTGAATCATCAGTTTTGCGCCCTCGAAATTCGTTGGCATCACATCTTTACACTTTTTGTGTAGGTCTTCAATTGTACCCGGATTCTCACGATCGCTCACATTGAAAAAGCTGTCTGTTTGTGCTGGTATAGCATTCTCTGATGACGACGATGATGGTTCTTTTGCTAGATTTGGCACCAACCCAGCTGGTGATGGTGGCAACGGTGGTGGAGGTTGTGATGCAGCTAACACGTTACCCATTTCGTTTCTTTTTTTTTAGCTAATTTTTGTTCTTACTGCTGATAACTGCAACATAAAAAGGATTTTCATTAAGAATAATTTCAACAGAGACAGAAATCAAGTTGAATCGGTTTGATCAATGAATAGAAACGATTATTTTTATCCGAATGGCACGGATTGTCAGCAGATATCAATGGAATTCTCCAGCGAAATTGCCAAATTCTTGCGAAACAAAAACACACACACATGATATATATTTGATGGTAAATCTCGTACATGGTTCTGAATGAACCATGGATAAGAACAAAAGTAATCGATTTTATTCCAGATTTAATTTAAATTATATCCGATTTCAACACGAATATACACCGAATGAAATAATTACATTGGGATTAATTTCTTTTTTTATTTAAATGTCCTCCAGATAAAAGTCGTACGGCTCCTGTACGTGATTTAAACTATCTAACAAAATCGAAATGTTCCGAAAAATGTTGACATAACCACACATTCAATACTACTATCAATGGTATGTATGGAGAGTTAGAAGAAAAAAGTCAGTAAACTTTTTTATTCTCTGCTTAAGCACGACGATCGGCTCATGTCAGTTGTGTCATAACACACTACCACATCGGTCTCTATCGACTAAATTCGAAATTTCGATGACATTTCGTTGTTTCGATATATTCCACTTTGCGATATACATGAAGCATATACATATGTTGGTTGGCGCGCTCTTTGTCCATGCCTGTGTGTCATTCGACATTTAACGTCAGTTGTTATTATGGGCTTCACAGAAATTCTGTGATCAGAGCGTATATGAAACAACCAATATTCATCAAATTCAAACTATGAAACATTTAAAAAACAAAATAACGGGCCGTTTCAATTGAAATATATGTAAACACTAAATTAAATAGCAACATGATTTGTCAATGTTGTAATTGCACCAGTTTGAAGTGATCACCTTGCAAATGAATTATAAATTAATATCAATTATTTAAAATTATTTTTCTTATATAAAATATTTATTAATTTTATTAATAGAACTACGAACAAACAAAGAAATTAAAAATTGAGCAAAATTCGAAAGACAACATAATTGTAACATAGGTGAAGAATGTAATTGCGATTTTTCTGTTTTCAACGCTGACGAAAACTGAAAAATTCAAATTCAATTGTTGACAAATGAATTGTGTGCATTTATTCACACACATATATATATATATATATATATATATATGTATCATAAACATATATGATTTTGTTGATAGAAATTCAAGCATGCGTAACAAGGCCTTATGCCATTTCTAACTAATTCATTTGTCGAATAAATCTCTTGTGAATATGACGGTCTTCGTAACTGTAGTCGGAAAAGGTATTTTTTTTTCAATGTAAATAATATTATTTTGCTTATTTATTTTGCATTGTTTTGTCCACTTCAAATTCACCGAATCTTAGTGCCTCTTGCTGCTGCTAATGTTGCAAATAGGAACTTGCAAGCCCAACTTGCTGCTACTAATGCTGCAAATAGGAACTTGCAAGCCCAACTTGATGCAATGAACAAGAAGTTGGATGATTTGACCCAGGAAGTAAAAGACCTGCAATCTCGTTTGAAAATTTCTGGTCCAGCCTCAAAGCAATTGGATTCATTGAAAGAATTGGAGGAATACTTGCAAGTTCAAGAAACCACACTCATTGGATTTTTCGGAGGCGACAGCTCATTGAAACTAACATTCCAGGCATATGCCGACAAATATCGTGAGAAGAAACGCTTCGGTCACACATCAGCCGCCGATTTATTGAAGAAATACGGTGTTACCGATGGCATCATTTTGTTCCGTGCTCCACAATACGCCAACAAATTCGAAGAGAACCAAGTCGAATTCGATGGTTCAGGTATCGAAGAATTGACCACATTCGTTAAGGGCAACTTCCATGGTCTGGTTGGACATCGTACACGTGACAATGCTGCCGAATTCAATCGACCAGTTGTCGTTGCTTACGTCAAGAATCCAGAGAAAACCAACCACTGGCGCAGCCAAATGTTGGAGGTTGTCCCACCATATGCTGGAATGTTCTCGTTTGCCATCAGCAGCAAAGACGAATTCCAACACGAACACAACGAATACGGTTACGATTATACCGGTGACAAACCAGTCGTTTTGGCACGCGATGAACGCAACCAGAAATTCATCATGAAAGACGAATTCTCGTAAGTTAACCCAAAATACACGGAATTCAATGTTTGGTTTCGGCTAATGTTTTTTTTTTCTTTGTTCTGTGTCTTCTCTGATAGAATTGAAAACTTAAAGGCATTCTTGGATGATTTGAAAGGTGGCAAACTTGAACCATACCTTAAATCAGAACCAGTCCCAGAGGACAACAATGGACCAGTTAAGGTTGCTGTTGCCAAGAACTTTGAAGATCTCATCACCAACAACGGCAAAGACACACTCATCGAATTCTATAGTCCATGGTATGTATGCCTGATTCGGAATGAATTTTTGAGATTTTCGGTTGTTCGGTTTTGGTTTGATTAAATTCTATCCATCTAATTCGCTATATTTTTGCCTATTGCAGGTGCCGAGACTGCAAGAAATTTTTTCCAGTATACGATGAGCTTGCTGAAAAGTTGGCCGATGAAGATGTTTTTATCGCTAAATTCGATGCCACCGCCAATGATGTGCCACCAGAGTTCGAGGTTCGCGATTTCCCAACTCTCTTCTGGTTGCCAAAAGACTCGAAATCGAAACCAGTGAAATATGAAGGTATCCACGAAGTGAACGAGCTCCTCAAATACATTGCCAAACACGCCACCATCGAACTGAAAGGCTTCAACCGCGACGGCGAACCCAAGATCGTCGATTAGTAAATTTTATTATGAAAAACAACTCAACAAATGAAATTAAAATGAAAAGGAAATGAAATAAAACCACACACATACCGAGAGAACAAGAATCATGAAAAAAGAAACAGAAAAAAAGTTTAAAATACACTCAATTTAACTATCAATTTGAATCGTAGGGAAATCTTTTCATCAATGGAAATGGGAAGAAGCAAATCGATTCAAAGTGTACAATAACGTTTTAATTATCCCAGATAAGTTGATAATGAATGAAAAATGTCACAACAGTACAAATACATTAAGAACACGCACTAGGAAACTATAACATTCGATTTTTTAAATAAAGTTCAATCATCAACGGATATGATATGTTTTTCTTTATTTTTTTTTTTCGAGCAACTACATGTTGAATAGTTGATACAATTGAGTTGCCAGCTAGATAAACATTTTCTTCCAATGAGCAATGTTCAAATGTTGGTTGGTAAGTCATTCGATTCTCTTGGGATTCATTCAATGCAAAGCCCAATCAATTTATCTTTGCATGACAATTTTAAAAGTAACCAGGACATTTCAGAGGAGTGGAACTATTAACTCTTATGCCGCTTGCATTTGGAGTTCAATAAGTTGAAAAACGAAGACATCGAAAATGGATGTAAATCATGACAAAAGTAATAATAAGAGACAAGCGGGCGAAAGCGGGAAAGGGCGAAAGAAAGAGTCAAGTCGTTAGTTGCGCGTGGGGTCAATGAGATATGCTTATAGATGATGTTTCAGCGCAATCATCAATGGGGCGGAATTATGAAATTTTCATCATAGGCGCGCACAAAGCGACACCAAGAGAGTGAGAGTGAAAGAGTGTGAATGCGAGAGTTGGAGCGAGTGTCCCAAAGTTATGAATTTATAACATAATAAAAACCGTATTTCGAAAGAAGAAATCCGAAATGCGAATCGATGCACACGTTCACACCACATACACATATGCACGGGATGGATAAACGGCACAATATGTATATATAAATATGTTTGCATTAGCAAAAATTCATCACAATACATAAAATGACGATATAAAAACATTTCTTCTTCAAAACAATATATGTACATGTATATATCGGTTTTGGCGTTTTGCTACGCCGCTCGCCTGATGCTCCGATGTGTCAAATGTTCAACGAAAGTGTGTTTCTCCAATTCGATGGCAGTTCCCTTTGGTGGATGCACACGCAGAAGAAGAAGAAGAAGACGAACACAAGCAGCGAAAAAAAATTGAACCAAAGCGAAATGGATGAGACGGAAAGAATGTGCACAAGACACTAGCAAAGGGTGTTAGAATGAGATAAAAGTAGCCATTGAACTTGCCGAGAGAGCAAAGAGTCATAGCAGAGAAACAATGTTTCTAAGACAAAGTGATGTGTGCTATGTGTACAGAGGAGTGTTCTCGCAATTACAAGCAATGGATATCCAAATGTGGAAAAACGTAGGAAAGCGTTGAGGAGAGGAATAGAGAGAACATCGAAATGCGAAATACAATCATAGTTACTGGTTTGAAGAATCTGAACGCCGATGTTGATGCCGCCACCGCCGTTACCGCTGCTGCTGTGACACATGCAAACAAGACAACAACGACAACGACATAGACAACGGAGACAATAAAATTAAATAAGAGAACAGAATGGGAAAAAAGAGACACATACAGCCCAAACCAACGAAGCAATCGCATCAAGAAAGAGATAGAAAGATGGACAATTCATCAAAAAGTGACATGTTCACGGGCTCTGAATTGTATTTGCAATAATCACGATTGAAACGACGCAAACATCAATCAACCGACGCAACTCTCTTTCGCATAAACACACGCTCACACATAAACATCGTCTACGTATAAACCCGTCGCTTCACATGGAATCGGCCGCACACGGCATGCATTAAAAATCGGTATGGGCAAAATAACGCGTGCACTCGATCGTAAGTACGATACAGAGAGAGAGAGAGAGACACGGTAAACGGACTCTATTGCACGCACACGCACACACACTTACCCATTCATTCTCTTAGTCGCAGATTCAGAATAATGAAACTACTATGGTCACATACCATGTGTGTGCAGTATGCGCGCTCATTTGCTCCGGTCGTTCCATCTCGCTCTGCCGCACTGTATCAATATTCAATCCATATGATGTGCTCCATTTCATTCGCTCTTTTGGCCGGCCGATTGTTTGGTCGGTTGTTTGCTTGTATTATATCGTTCGCGCGCGCTACTAAGAGCAATAGACTATCCATATTTTTTTACCCAAAAGGATTTGCGAAGCCGCAACGCATGCACACACATTTGCACAGAGCGAAAAAAAAAATTAAGCGAGAGAGAACCGTAGAAAACGAAAAAAACATACCGAAATGACAATCGTACATATCGGCGAGGAGCGAAAAAAGCCCGCGCGCACCGCGATTGTAGCAAATTGTATGCATTCGAACATCAAGTCTTATATTTGATGATGCTAACGATTTTTTCTTCTCTTCTTTCTCACCGCATCTGCAAGAGAGTGTGCGAGCGAGTGAGCGAGCGAACAAGCAAGCGACCAAACCGTTGGATATACCCATCGTATGTGTGTACACTGTACACACAGTGTGAACTGTGTGTGTTTTTTTTTCTCTTCTTCTTCTCTGCGCTCGTTGTTTATTACTGCCGTGTTGTTAACGTTTAGTTCGCTTTGCTATGCTTTTATTTTATTATTATTTGTGCACACTTCGTTCCATTTCATATCGCCCCGTCACCGTGCGCGCTGTATGTTAGCATACAATAGCCTTAGCGCAAAAACAGAAAAGAAGTGAAACAAACCAAACGACAGCAGCAGCAGCAGCAACAAACAGAAAAAAAAGAAATATATATATATATATATTCACTCAGAGAGTCAGAAAGAACTTTACACAGTGAGTGAGAGAGGAACAATACACAACAGCAACAACAAAATCGAATTTAAATTAAAAATGGCTGTAACTTTTAAATGATGTCAAATGGATCGAGCGAAATTTTTATCCGCACGAATAATTATAAACAGTTTATGTTAATTTATTTGGATCGGCTGTCGTCCGTGTTTCGTGTATAGTTTTTTGTGTTCTGTATTTTTTTCCTTCTTCTTCTTCTTCTTCTTATTCTCGATTTTGAATTGGTTCGGACTAAATGTACGCGCATTATTAAAGAGAGAAAAAAAAGTGTGTGTGCTTTTTTTTTATATTCAACTTCTACACATTTCGCTCTCACTCGCGCTCTGTTGAATTCTTCATCTTTGAAACTGAGTTGGTCTCTTTTCTTCTGGTCAGGCAGCGGCAGCACAACGGACACACAATCAGAAAATATGTGTGGTGGTTTTTTTGTGTTATGTTTTCTGCATAAGAATCGGACCGACACATAAAACAGAGACATTTATACAGAATAATTAAGTGATCGAAATAGTGTCATTGGAAGAGTGCTTGAATACGGTATACGGCTTAATCGAAATGGCTTATTAACCGATGATACTGTGTGAAATGTGAGAAAAAAATCGAAAATTAGACAAATTACTAGTTTGTGCTCATCCATCGATTACGATTAATCGAAACATTTTATTGTGGAATTATTGGTCTGTGTTGTGTGTATGAACCAGTGGGTTTTGTGATTTTTATTCCTTTTTTCATTTTTGGTTTGAGTTCCAAGTGAGACAGAACATCATATGAAAATTAGATATATAAAAAAAACAACAACAAATCGAAATAAAAGTGCATCGCAATTAGACGTGGCCCATGCAAATGAAAACAATAATTATTCCCATTTCATTGACATTTTTACTGAAGAAATCGCAAATATAACATTGAAAAACCTAGGTTAAACAAAAATAAACTGAAAAACGTGAACGAGAACAAAAAAAAAAACAAAGGGAAAAAAATTGATAAGAAGGCAAATCGATTTAATAGGATTGTCATACGGCGATTGTGTGTTACGCTTACAATTCGTGTGTTATGAAACAAAACAAGAATACTGAAGAAAAAAAAATACAACAAGAACGCAACTACAATTAAATCATATCCATTTCGGTTTTTAATTTGTCTGTTATTTATGGGTACATACGAGCAATCAAACGATTCAAATCAACATCGGAAAACGAGCATTAGATCCCGAATCCGGATATATATGTCTTGTTGAGTGAATGGTGATTGTGTCATCTTCGCGGAAAATCGATTTTTATTGGTTGTTGTTCGATTTCTAATGAGTGAACACTGAATTGGATGGGGGATTAAAAAGAACTCAAATACAACAAATCGTCTGAATTCCACACTCTCATGGTGTGTGTGTGTGTGTGTGTATGTGTTTTCTTCCTCATTTTCACCGTCACCAATCGAAACCGTGTGCTCAGTGTTTGCATTTTATAGCGTTTCAAATTTGCTGGAAATTAAATTTGATTTTCAAAGTAAGTATCAACCGATTTGTTTAAATAATTGTTTTCATATAGTTCTTTTTCTACTCTCCCGCGGTTTTTCATAAGTATACCTTCTGTTTGTCGACTTTTGACAAGTTCAGTGTGGAAAATATTCAAATGGCGCTGTGACACATCGCACCAATGACAATGTCTCAATCAAGCCATTTCTAACATTTTCAGAATTCTTTGTTACACCTTCCGAAACGACGAAACAGAAAATCCCCCTCCAAGACATAAAAGAGCCTATTTATGTAAAATACTTTTTTATTTATTCAACGAAAACAACGCAAAACGCGAGAGAGAAAAAGAACTGTAGTCACGTTGAGAGAAAGACAAAATCAAGATTACATTTGGAATTGGAAGCATTTCTAACGAGATGTCAATTGGCGTTGATAATTTTGCCTGTTTGGATGTTATATCGACAGCTAAAAATCGACGAAAAAGAAACGAAATCAATGCATTTGACTGTATGTATGCATCATATGTAGTCAGCCATATTGATTTATATTGTGCATAAAATCGGTTGAAAGATCCAATATACGTGCTCATGGCATACGTACCATCGACCAACCAACCAACCAACCAACCAACCAACGAAAAAAAAACAACAACATAAGCAACGAAATAAAAATGAAATAACAACCTAACGAATTTATATAATTCAAGTTATTCTCCTTTTGTTTGCATTAACTTGTTGTTGCTGTAAGGGAGTCGCATATTTTGTTGTTGTTTATACTATGTCGGAACAAACGTTCCCTCTCTCTGTCTCTCATTCGGTTTCTGTTTCGGCGTTGTCGGCTTTTTTCCAACGTTGACTGTCTTTGTAATTACTGTGTGCATTTAATGCTATTTTTTTCAACTCTGTTTCGTTTGTTACCCACCTCTCTCTCTCTCTGAATGGTGTTCATTTCCTTTACCTCTGTCTCTCTCTCTCTCTCTCTCTCTCTCTCTTTCTCTCGCTCTATGTGTTCGCACAGAGCCACAAAACATACATTCATATCTATTTATGTTGTGCATGATCTGCATTTATTTTGTGAATATTCACGAAAACTACAGCTCAACGAAAGCAAAAGAAGAAAAAAAACTAAATGGAAAAAAAGTAAGAAGAAGAATGAAAAATTGTGCGCGCAGAATGAACCCGAAGAAGAGCAAGTAGAAGAAAAAAGCAAACGACAGCCACAATACAAAACCAAATGTGGCTAGTGTGTAGCAAAAAAAAAAAAATGAATGAGAATCGGACGGGGAAAAATCGGTTAGCAGCCAACAACATCACACCAAAAGACGAGAAATCGAAGTCAGCAAGCGTATGTAAAGGCCACGCCGAAGACCAAACGTAATGATTCAATAACTCTTCTCTCTCGTGTGCGTGTTTTTTTTATCGTTACTTTTTTGTCTTTTTTTCGGTTTGTTTCAATGAGAAAAAGACGAATAAAACGAACGAACGAGAATACACCAACAACAATGTCAACGCTTGAGCCATTTTATGCCGTGTTATGGCGATGTCAAAAGACTCGGCGGGGAAACAATCATTTTTCATTAATCTTTGGGACTGTACACTGTACGTTTATATATATAATTTTCTTTTTTGGATTAGATTCATATAAAATTGAAGGGATTGACACAAATATATGCGGCAATTTATTGTGTTCTTACCACGATTCCGTGGTGTCTTTGTTTAAACGCAAAGACGTTGGAACAAAAAATCTCTTGGCATTACAAATTAAAATAAAATTGACCACTTTCCCATCTTCCAACTCATATTGAACGTATACTGGTACAATTAATTTTGTCGATTTACCACGACACAAACCGATTATTGAACGTCAAATCTCATATTCGAAAAATGATTTAAATCGTATCAAATACAAAATCGTTTTTGGTTGGGCAGCTTGTCTATTTTGAATGGGCCAATAGACACACACGATGAGCACTCACTCGATAGAATCGCTCTTGTTTCAGATATACTATTGGCAGCCATATAATTGATTATTGTATGGCGCATATTTGGATCCACATCGTTTACATATTCTTTAAGCATTTTGAATTTATTATTCCGTTTGCGTCAACTCGAATTTTTCACTTATTTTCTCCTCGAAACTATTTTTCAATTGATGGTGCATCACTGTCAAAAAAAAAAGACGACGACGACGAAAAAAAAGACGGTGGATCTGAGAAAAGTACGGTGTAGAGTGGAGCATCGAGTGCAATGGTGTTTTTTTTTCACATTTGCTCGGTATTTTATTCCGTAACTGCGGGGCTTTCGTTGAACGTTACGTTTGAATGCGATGCAGAAGGCTCCACATGAGCCATACTTTGGCATGAAATTCGATAATATATTTTCATCTGTAATCAGAATCATTTCGCTCGTAAACACATTTCCATATCACAATGTGCAGTTTTGTTTGTGCGGCTCGTTTTTTTTTGTGCATTCGTATGTGTGTGGTTGCATGCTATTTAAATTCTGGTTTTAACGTTCATTTACCCCTTTTTAAAATTGTGTAAATGAAAAATTCGGCAACGGTCAGCCGAAAAAATTGCAATGCATATCATCATTTCCAGAAAAAAGAAGCGAAAAAAATGCGTCAAATGAATTTACAGTCGCTTTTAAACGCTTAAATTCAATTATTGAACAGTACCGGGGAAAAAACGTTGAATATTTGACGAATCACAGAATTTGTTTGTGTTGCTGTTGTTGCCTTGTGTTGAATATTCCTCTCGAGAATGTACTACCGAGTGAACAGATCTGAACAGTTGTCCAAAATGGGGCAATTTTTTCGCACTCTTTCGCACTCTCTCGCTCGCATAGTAAGATTGCCGTCAATCTTACAATTACTCTGGATAATGCGTGCACAAAAGATATTAAAACAAAACAGCGAGAGAGAATGAGAAAGAATACAAAGTGAAAAAAAAGAACTGCTAAATGACATAGTGACGCCGAGCATATATGCCATTTGTGCACCAAAGTCTATGTGAATTCGGATAAATGACATGCAAAACGAGAGAATGAGTGAGTGAGGCGTTGGGAGAGTGAGAGAGTGAGAAAGAAAAAAATGTGTAGTGTTATTTAAACCATTGGCAATTTATCAATATATAAACTTAATGTGTTATTGTGCACGCTTTGAAAGCAAAAAATTGTTCGCGTACGTTTAAGCCGACGAGTGAGAGAGAGAGACAGCGAGAGCAAGAGACGCGCACACATGTTCAATTTTACTGATGTGATACAATTCGGTGAATATATTGAGAAACGAATTCGGCGCGTATACATATTTTGATTTTATTCGAATACGGCCCAAAGGCACACCAATAACAACACACAATAGCAACGACACCGACGACGGCGACACAAAAAAAAACAGCAACAACAAGAACAACGACAACAGAAATCAAATAATCGATGTATAATTAAATTCAGTCAGAAGAAAAGCCGACTAAACAAGACCTAAAGCGATAAATTGCGTATTTATGCTAAAACGAGACGCATCGACAATAAAAGCGGCAAAGAAAACAGAATGAACCGAGTTACAATTAGCAATGAACGGCACCTAAATGAATTAAGTGCATTTTTCATATGAAATCGAAAACGATTGCGACGAGAGAAAGAGAGGGAGAGAGAGACGCGGTAGAGAAAAAAAAAGTGTCCAAACAGAACCGAATTTTTTTTTTTTATTGGAAATGTGTATATAATATGGAAAGGTACAATCAACGGGCAGGCAAGCAATAACGAAAATGAAGCATTCAATGTGAAATTAAAACAAAACAAAAAAATAACAACAAAACAAGCGATAGTGTACGAAGTGCAGTAGCGGTGGCGGTGGTGGTGGCAACTTCAAGCGAATATGACTGATGATAATAGTAATAACAATGAAAAAAAGCACTAATAAATAAAATCGAGTGACAATCGCTCTTCATCTGCCTCGTCGCATGTACGAATGCATTCATATTACTCATGTGCGAAGCAAACGTATTGTCGCACTCAAAAGAAAACGTTCGCACGTTACGTACACAAGCCATTGAGTACGAAGTATGTGAGTGAGAGAGAGAGAGAGAGAGAGCTTTGTTTTGCATACAAAACGAGACGCTTTAATTTTTTTAAACCTCAACTATGGTTGCAATATACAATGACTTATATGCACACGGGTACTTGACACAGGCGCGCATACACACGCACACAGCAACACATCGAGCGATAGAGAGAAAAAGACACACACAAACAGAAACCCACCGCCGAATCATCAAACAAGCGAATTCAGTTTTGTGAATTATCATCGTAATGAAGCGGCACAACATGACCAATGTGAACCGTACGTACCACCGTAGCACACGCAAAGCGCGCGTAGAACGTTTTTTTTTCTTCTTCTTTTCATTTCGCCGTTTTTGGGGGCTCCGCTTAATTCATTTCGTGGCGCGAATGTACAAGTATTTTAGCCCAGCATTGACAACAGTTTTTGGAGCACACGAGCTGGCGGTTGGTCGGACGGCCGGTCGGTTGATCGGTTGGTTGCAAGCGCACTCATCACTTTATGTTTGTTTGTTATAAATTCAAATGGATAATTTTCGAATGGAACATGAATTCGGTCATCGCGAAATGCCATCGGCGCACCAGAGAGATGCAACGAAGCAAAAGAACGAAGTAGCAGCAGCACTTTACAATTGCTCAAACTAAACCGACTCGAAAAATGTGTGCACTTGGAAAAAAGCCATCGACCATCGCGCGTGCATACAATTTTCCCAGTGTAGAAAGTGTGTGTGAGTCACTTACTGAGCGTGCGGGTATGCATTGCGTCCACCATTGTGGGCTTCCCAAATAACACACAACGCTCGCGACACAAAAAAAATGTGTCACAAAATCGGGCATTATCATCGGATCGGTGTGTGTGTGTGTGTGTGTGTGTGTGTATGTGTCCGTGTCTATGTTGTTGCATGTTTTATTTTCCTTCTTTCGAGGTGCGAGAGATGTGCTCAGATATTTGCCATTAAATTGTGTGCTGTGT